CGAATAGTGTTGGTCAAGTTTTTTAGCGCTAATCGAGGCAAAATTTTTGCGATAAAATGTATCGCTAGTCAGATTTATCGTTAATCGATGCCATCGCTGGTCGAGGGTCCACTGTACTTTACTACTGAGATGGCTGCAATGTCAATGAGGAAAACCACAGAACATGCTTTGTTTGGCCATGCCAGTGTTCTTCCAGTCAGCGAACTTCCATCCAAAGGCGATATGTTAACCCTTTCAGGGTCCACAGGCCAAATCTCAAGAGTGACAGCCAGGGTCCAAGAATTTTCAAAAAAAATTTTTGTTATTTTTTCTTATGAAATGGTAGAGTATCTTTTTCTGAACGTAATAAAGCAAAAAGTACGAAATTTGATGGAAAATTGATGAAATTACGCTCGCGAATTTTGATGTGTCTGCTATATTTACGCATTGGCGATTTTGCCGACTTTGACTCTCATTTTAGGCCAATTACATTATTCCAGTCAACCAAATTCTTGGCTATTTCACTAGTATTACTTACTTTTATTTTATCGATTGAGCACAAGAAATCGCCCAGTGAGCTGTTTCAGCTACCCAATAAAGTGATTGGAAATTGGTAATTTGGCCAATTTAACACAGTTCAAAATAGGATCCAGAATAAACAATGCAGGCATTCCTGGCACTAAACTAACATTTCCTTTGTTCATTGGTTACATTTTCAGGCTTTATAAATGAATTCCATTTTGATTTTTTATTCACTTAATGAAGTTGTATTCACACCAAAAAATAGAAGATTTACTGTTATGCAATGTTGTAATAATTGTATAAATAATATCAGCACATTCATGAACATACATTAGTCCCACCAGCTGATGCATATTAGACTCATGACTACATTTGTTTACTCTTGAACATCGGCAAAAATTGAACATTTCAGCTATTTTTGAGCTTGGTTTCAAGCCATTTTTATTACTAAAACTAATCAAAATCATTCCTATTTCTGTAATATGTATTCCATCCTATCAAATGAAACCAAGAAATTGCGAATACAACTTCAAATTCAAATTCAAAGTTTATTCTCTATAAGGATTACAATGCTGAGTTTACAGAATTTGATTATTGTGTGGTTTACATGTAGTAAAATAATTACAGAGTGTACCACTAGAACACCTAGCATGGCTAGGTATTTCGGGCAGACTTAAATTAAATCTTAAGTTTAAAATATTACAAAATTATGAGGTAAGTTGGTATTATGGCTAAGTGACTAAATACTAGTTTGTGAGTTTAGCAATGTGAATGCTTTTGTTTTGGCACTATACATAGTTTCAGTATCGGAGTATCACAGGCCAACTTATGACTAGTTAAGATTCATTATTTTGAGATTGATATTTCTGTTTATGGTCAAATGGGTGAGTGAGTGTAAGTGTTAACCACCAGGTGGTATTCGTGTAATTAGTTGACAGGGTGTATCAGGGAGATAAGATGTTTTCTGATGGTAGTTTTGAAGGTGATGAATGTGTCTGCAGTTTTAGAATTTTCAGGTAGGGTGTTCCAGATTTTAGGGCCTTTGACATACATGGAATTTTTGTAAAGGTTTAGTCGGACACGGGGAATGTCATAGAGATGTTTGTGTCTGGTATTGTGCCTGTGGGTTCTGTAGCAACTATCAAGAAAGCATTTTAGGTCAAGGTTAATATTGGAATTTAAGGTCCTATAGATGTAGATTGCACAGTAGTAAGTGTGGATGTACTGAACAGGGAGTAAGTTTAGATCTATGAAGAGTGGGGGGGGGGGTGTTGCCAGGGATGGGATTTAGTGATTATTCTTACTGCGGCTTTTTGTTGGGTTATTGTTGGCTTTAGGTGTGTTGCTGCAGTTGAACCCCAAGCACATATAGCATAGGTGAGATATGGATATATAAGTGAATGGTATAGTGTGAGAAGGGCAGTGTGCTGCATGTAGTATCGTATCTTGGAGAGGATCCCAACTGTTTTAATTCAAAATTACGGTCACAGTTTTTTTCTCTCATGCACTGCGTGCGGCAGGATTTTTATGTGGTGCACACTTAACACACAGATGTGTTCTCTCATATTTAGGCCCAAATTTACCACTCACAGGTTATCTGGGTGAGCTGAACTCATGGCTTTGATCTATGGTTTGGACCCTGGCTTCAAAGCCATAAGTCTATGGGACGGACCCTGAAAGGGTTAAGGAACTACTGGCGATGTGAATGTGATGAAGGAAAGTTTACTGATGTTTCAGTGGTTATCAAGATAGCAGCTAAGGATTGTTCTGAACTATGGGAGAAATCAGTTAGAGACCGAAAGACTATTCCTATTCTCAGCCGGAAAGATAGAGAAAATTGTACAGTAGAGGAATAGAACTTAATAAGAACAAAAATGTCTCCAAAAAAGCTGCATTTCAGGAAGAAGTGAATGAGTTTGATGTATGTAGTTGTTTCTGTCCTGCTGCCTCCTGTCAAGATGTAAGGTGCAAAATAAAGGAGTGTGATGGATACCACTTGGCCTGTAATTATGATGTGAAAGTTCCTAAACGTGAGGTACAGTTCCTCCCTGACCAGAGAGGCGATAGGAAGATGAAAATTGGCTGTGTTGACATGACAGTAACGAGGATGTGGGATAGAGTGATGATAAAAGAGGAGCAGGATGCAGCCAGAGCCAAGAAGCAGCTGGAGGAAAGACAGAGTGAACCAGCAGCTGGAAAAGTTTCTGATTCTGACGATAATTCAAATGATGCCAGAGATAGCCCTTCTGTTGATACTGATGCTGACTATGCCTTCAGCTGTCTGACTGCCAGCAGCTCACAGCAGAACAGAACAAGACTCCCCACTGGCAGCCACATGTGACCAATACTTGATCAGTGATTATACTGGAGCTGCTGTTGCTACTGCCACCTTGATGGACAATGGCTTCATCACCAAAGACGACAAAAGTAAAGTTATTGGGCCACAGAAGTTACGAGATGCCAGACACATACTGAATGGAGAGGCAAGAAAATAAGCTAGCAAACTTGGAAAATATGACATCACTGTATTTTGATGGTAAGAAGGCCTCCACTCATATAGTGACAAAGCCTGAGTAGACCAAGAAATGGACTCCAAAGAATGTGGTGAAAGATCATTACGTCATCATGGTGGGGCCCGGCACTGAATATCTCACTCGTGTGAATCCTAAGTAAGGCCATGGAAAGGAGATTACTAAAACTATACATTTCTGGTGGAACAGAAACTAACTCGGCAGCCTATTGTATGTGTTGGTTGTGATGGAACCAATGTAAATGTCGGATCTGACAATGGAACCATTCATTTTGAAATGTTGCATGGTCATCAGGTCCATTATTTCATCTGTCAGCTTCATGGAAATGAGCTGCCATTCCGGGCTGTTTTCTACCACTATGACGGTAAGCCAAGTGGTCCTGGGCACTGGAGAGGTCCCATTGGCTAACAAATCAAAGATCCTCTGTCTGAGCTGTCAGTTGTTTTCCAACCAATCAGTTTCACTGATTTCCCTGCTGTGAATGACAAGGTTGCAGAGGATCTGTCCTGGGACCAGAAATACTTGTATAGTGGAGCCCCGCTTAACGATCACCTCCCAATGCGACCAATTATGTAAGTGTATTTATGTAAGTGCGTTTGTACGTGTATGTTTGGGGGTCTGAAATGGACTAACCTACTTCACAATATTCCTTATGGGAACAAATTCGGTCAGTACTGGCACCTGAACATACTTCTGGAATGAAAAAATATCGTTAACCGGGGGTCCACTGTATATGATTTACAAAGGAGTGATCACAGGTGTGGTTGATGATGACTTGGCTGCTCTTGAACCAGGTAAACTGTGTGTGTGAGGTGGAATACTTGACACACACAGTGGTTGTATGTGGCAACATCAAGACCCAGTCAGGAGCTGAAAAGAGTTGTCATTATGATTTTTAAGTTCAGTGCTCCAAAGAACGTCTTCCAGTCACTGCAATTTATGAGATACCTGAATAGTGAAAAAAAGAAGATAGTAAAGAAGACTGTCCAAAGAAATTCCTACTTTGCTCACACAGATCAGCTGCTGCTTGGTATGTGTGCTGATGAAGACATGACTGTGAGAGACAAAGCTGTCTCAATGATAAGAAAAATCAGAGAAGAGAATCAGTAGATAGAAGAAAGTACTGAGAGCTCTGATGAGGATGGAGAAGGTTCTTCTGATGCTGTTGACGAGGACTTGTTAATCTACACTGATGATGAGGATGACAGTGAAGATGAAGAGAATGACAATGTGGCTCCTATTGTCAACTCAAGAAAAGTAGTGATTCCCAAACTAAAGTGGCAAGCAAAGAACTATCATTCCATAATTGACTGGAAGACTGAACTCGAAACTGAGCCTCCTTTCATTGCTTCTCTATCATATCACCAGGTTCTGAAAATTGAGACTCCACTGGAGGTGCCCAAGTGGCCAAACAATTCTCATACTGTTGAGAGAGGGATAAAATTGATGACTTGAGCTTGCACTGAAGTGACTGTACAGAAGGCAAGAGATGGATGTATCTGGCAAAGAATATTTTCCAGGAAAGTGATGCCCAAGTTCTGCACCAAGGAAGACTTCACTTATAACTTGTAATAGTTTAAAATTAAATAGTTGATGATTGATATAACCCATGTACATTTGATTGTACAATCTTCACAACCAAAAATGATATAAACAATGTACACATGATTATTATCGTGACAACCAGTAAATTATAACTAACTGCTTTGTGGTGTATAATTTGACGAAAAGTCGATCGTGATGCTGCAGGGTAAATGGGCATGAAATGGTCTGAAATTTTGCTCAGAAGTTTGTTGTGACCATACAAATAATGCCTGAAAAGTGCAGCTTTCACCTCTAAAATTTGTATTTTTTCAGTGCTTCCTAATGGGTATATATCTGGCATAAAAGAGCTGAGATATTTGCCTTTATAATGTTTCGTGGTGCTTTACTTAAGCATTAAGTTGCAATTTTATTTTATCATTCCAGGTCACAGGTGTAGTTCCTGATATGAGTGTTGTTAGAGCTATTCTCAAAATTACCTGGGCTTCTGCAGCTGGGCAAGTCCATCTCATAACATCATCATTAGATGAAATTGAAAAAGCAACTGAACGACCACCAACTAAACCCCCAGATCCAGAAGACTTACAAGGTGAATTGCATGTCACATAATTTTAATTCCTTAAATTGAGTACTGTAATTGTGAATATACTCTTGGTCCTACAGATTCAAGGAGAGGAAGATGGAGGGAATGTTTCTAGAGCTCTCGCAAAACTAAAAACTATGAATAATAAAAATAATTACTACTGTAATTTAAATTTTTGCATGAGCACAATTTTAAGATCCAGATTTCTTGACTTAATTGTTCCAAACAAATAGGAACTCATAATTTTTTTTGTTTTAACATGCTGGCTGTCTCTTATCGAGGCAAGGTGACTTGAAAAAAACTCACCATTGTTCACACTATAACTCATGCCAAAGGTGAATAGATATGACAGTTTAAATGTCACTCTAAACAGCAAATATCCCAAACCCCCTCCTTGAGAGTGCAGGCACTGTACATCCCACCTCCATACCCATATCATGTCTACGTCAAATAAACATTTTCCAAATGTCAATACACTGAATCGAGTAAAAGCTGATGTGATCTTTTGCTGCGTCGAATCCCGGTTCACTGTTTCCTTGCTGTCTGATGTAAGTTCTCCCCTCAAGGAAGGTTCCTTGATGCTGGTGAGGGGCTCTTCATCTAGGGAATTAGATCTGTTTTCCAGTTCCCTGAATACCTGAATACCTTCCACATCCCCCCTCAGGCGCTGTATAATCTTACGGGTTTAGCGCTTCCCCCTTGATTATAATAATAATGAATAATAATGATACAAGTTCTCGATGGCATCCTCTTCCAAAAAAGACTTTGTCTCGTCAGCCACCCTCAGAAATAATTTCCTGCAATTCAGCAGGGAAATTCTCTACAACTGTATGGTCAGCTGAAATACTCTCACCATAAAACTTAATATTATGCACTTTGAACTTGTGGAAAATCCTGTGCTACACACACACACTTGTTCAGGCCTTCTGCATCACAGATTTGTAGTATTCTAAGGCTTCTCTCCTCCCCCCCCCCCATCCCAAGAATTATTAATGTATTTTAGCAGTGTTTCTCACCATTGTGATTATGTATCTGCAGTGTGTCGTGAAGGTCTGGAGACATTGTCTGTGGTATTGGCCCTTTACCCTCCTGCCTTGGAAACTCTGACCAAGGATACACAGTTCCACAAGTTGGTTATGGGGTTGGTGCTAGTGGGTGGGGAGCGCAGTATTCGACAGTGTGCAGTGGAGCAGTTGTTGCTGATGGCGACAAAATGTTCCAATTCCCCTCACACGCTTGTGGTCTTCATTGTCATGCTCTTTAATGTTCTTAATGGCCTTAATGGCGAGTATTCCAAGGAGTATTTCCAGGTATGTTTGTCTTTAGTATTTTCATAAATATTTCAATTGAGATACTGTATATTGTGTGTAATTTTTTTAGTAGATTTAGGGAAAGATAAACAAATGCAACACATCATTTACCAGTTTTGGTCCAACTGATTGCCCTTTACTGTATTTTAATATTAATAAAAAAAAATCAATATAAATTCCAGTTGCTGTGTGGATTACTGAACTGGGCGTGTGTATCAAGTGTGGCTGTGACAGGTGTTGATCGCCTGTTAACAACGGAAGTGGAATGGCTGAAGAATGTACGAGCCAGTGTAGCTCAAATGGCCCAAGGTGGCCCAGAGCCCCCTGTAGACGACACACTACTTGAGGGCCATTTGTGTGTCACACGAGAGTTGGTAGCCTTCCTTCCGGCTGAGAAAAAATATGAAATTGGTGGAGACCCCTCAAAGTCAATATTTCTTATTAAGGTACAGTAGATGTGATGGTAATTTTGTTGTGTTGCCTGATTGATTTTATTACTCAATATGTAAAGCTTATTTGCTACTTGTTTACATACAGGTTTCTTTATATTAATTTGTAAAATTTGAAGGCCATAACAGGAAAACAAGAAACAGAAAAACTGGGAGAAATATGCTGAGAGAAAAGAAAACTAGAAAATTTGGGTCACTTAGCAGAAAATGGGAATGAGTCAAACCCAGTAAATGCAGGCGGTCAAGACATTGCAGATATTATATGCAAAAGGGGTGTGCTTTTATGGGAGAAAATGCTGGTATAAACACAACAGAAAATGTGCAAACATGTTAGGAAAGGGGAAGTGTCACTTTGAGACAGTGCAGGTACTTCCATCTGCCAGTGTGCAAAGCTTGAATCCAGTTCAGAGAATGTTATGACCTGAGCTGTCCAGACCACCATGTGAAAGGAACACAGTGCATCATAGAAAGCAGGGAAAGGAAAAATGAACAACAGTCATTTTTAAACATAAATGATTGGTCCCAAGAAAGAAGACAAATGGGGAAATACTACAGATGGGACAGAGGTGCACAATAGTGGGACATACTAATCCAGGCATCTGCCCATCAGGGTCGAATATACAACAGACAAATGTAGTCAGTATTGGAGAAACCAGGGGCCATACCAGGCAGTACATTACCAGTGGTACTAAACACACACACCAAATCAAAACATCCCAAATGATAAATCCTACTTCCTCTTTGCAAACATTCAGGGTTTGAAATCAGATAAAAGTGGGCTCCTCTCAGAAGCCAGTGCCATGTTTGATATATATACATGTAATAGGTCACAGGGAGGAGTAGGACTAGGACTCTGTGAAAGATACCATCTATTGCTCAGAATTGTTGAATTCATCGAATGATAGAGTAGAAATTTAGGGTATTAAAGTTGAAAATAGGAATTTGGTAATTATCCTAGTATATAAACCACCAAAAGTATTAGAGGGCTGAAGAGGGGTTGTTGAGGTGGTTTGGTCATTTAGAGAGAATGGATCAAAGTAGAATGACATGGAGAGCGTATAAATCTGTAGGGGAAGGAAGGCGGGGTAGAGGTCGCCCTTGAAAAGGTTGGAGGGAGGGGGTAAAGGAGGTTTTGTGGGCGAGGGGCTTGGACTTCCAGCAAACGTGCGTGAGCATGTTAGATAGGAATGAATGGAGACGAATGGTATTTGGGACCTGATGAGCTGTTGTAATGTGAGCAGGGTAATATTTAGTGAAGGGCTTCGGGGAATCTGGTTATTTTTATATAGCCGGACTTGAGTCCTTGAAATGGGAAGTACAGTGGACCCCCGCATACCGATTTTAATCCGTGCAAGAGGGCTCATTGGTATGCAAAATAATCGGTATGCGAATGAATTTTCCCCGTAAGAAATAATGGAAATCAAATTAATCCGTGCAAGACACCCAAAAGTATGAAAAAAATTTTTTTACCACGTGAAATATACATTTTCCTACACACAAAGAGAAGGATACATGCACAATAGTAGAGTAGTACATGCACAGTATATATTGTGCATGTACTAGTCTACTAAATGAAGAATAAATGACACTTACCTTTATTGAAGATGCAGCAATGACTGATGAGACACTGTGTCCTGGGAGTGCCTTTTCCTCCTGAGTACTGTAGGTCCTGTTTGGTATTTTCTTCCAGAACATGCCTTATCACACTGTGTATGTCACTACGATTCTTAAATCTCTCAAACCAACCTTTGCTGGCTTTAAATTCACCAATATGAGCACTAGTTCCAGGCATTTTTCCCTGTTCACCTGGGTGTTAGTCGACTGGTGTGGGTTGCATCCTGGGAGACAAGATTAAGGACCCCAATGGAAATAAGTTAGACAGTCTTCGATGACACTGACTTTTTTGGGTTATCCTGGGTGGCAAATCCTCTGGGGTTAATTGTTTCTTGGTATTCTCAATAAGCCACACCAACAACAGTGCTACAGCAGCAGCAGCAGACAGTGCTACAGCAGCAGCAGACGATGCTACAGCAGCAGCAGCAGCAGCAGACGATGCTACAGCAGCAGCAGCAGCTGACAGTGCTACAGCAGCAGCAGACGATGCTACAGCAGCAGCAGACGATGCTACAGCAGCAGCAGCAGCTGACAGTGCAGCAGCAGCAGCTGTACCACCAATAGTAGCGATGGTTGATTGGGGTTTATTATACAACCTGGCCAGCTCGGAGACACGCACTCCACTTTCATACTTATCAATGATCTTTTTCTTCATCTCTATAGTAATTCTCACCCTTATTGCTGTAGGGTTGGCACTAGAAGCTTTCTTGGGGCCCATGGTCACTTATTTTCCAGATAAAATCACCAAAAACACTGTAATAATACGAAATGTTACGATTGTATGCTTGGATGCTACCGCGGAGGCTGGCTGGTAAACAATGCCACCGGCGGAACATGTGAGGCTGGCTAAGGCGCACATTGGACGCGTCTCGGACGAACAGCGGTGAGCGGGTTTTTAAGCAGTATGCGAGGCAAAATTTTTGCGATTAAAGCAAGCGGTATGAGGATTAATCGTTATGTGATGCCAACAGTATGCGGGGGTCCACTGTACAATGCCTGCACTTTAAAGGAGGGGTTTGGGATATTGGCAGTTTGGAGGGATATGTTGTGTATCTTTATACATATATGCTTCTAAACTGTTGTATTCTGAGCACTTCTGCAAAAACGGAGATTATGTGTGAGTGAGGTGAAAGTGTTGAATAATGAAAGTATTTTCTTTTTGGGGATTTTCTTTCTTTTTGGTCACCCTGCCTCGGTGGGAGACGGCCGACTTGTTAAAAAAAAAAAAATAAATCAGCAACTGCTGAGGAACTCGGATCATTTTTTTTTTTTATCATCCTCGGAGATTTTAATCTCCCACATGTAAAATGAAAGATGGCTAAACACAATGTTATGCCAGAAATATCTTGACAGCACCCTGGTAGGTACATACCAGGGACCTAATGATGCTTTGTGAAAAGTACTCATTGAGCCAACAGATAACTAATCCCACTAGAAATGAAAATACATCTTGGATTTGATATTCACAAACAATGAGGAACTAATCAGAAACATGAGTCATAAAGACTCGAAACTCAACAAAAGTATATCAAAGGTATGGGTGTTTTCAACTACAAAGAAAGAGATTAGAAGAACTAGGACCCATGTGGGGGACCAGTAATGTGGAGGTCTGAGCTAATGGAGGTGGTCAGGGAAAACTGAGCACATACTCCCAGATCACTACCTTTCCCAACACCTTGAATACAATAAACTGTTGATTAAATTAGATCTATTAATACTTTTTTGCATTAACATAGTTGAAAAATTGCCATATATTTTCCCTTAAAACTACTTTTATCATATAACACAGCAAATGTAAGGGAAAATATGGCATGCTACAGATTCATTCTCCTCTGTCTCATGGTGAGTCTGCAGGTGAGGCCATTTTTGTACAGGGAAGGCTTACTTAATGTACACCATATCCCTTGCCTAAGTACACCATTCATACACATCCAATGCCATACTCAACCTTGGTTAGTGAATCAATTTTTGATACTTTAATCATCCCATCTCATCTCTGGATAGTAACCATGGCACCTAAGAGGAGTGCGAGTGATCCTAGAAGTATTGGTGTTTAGAAGAAATTTGATATTAGATAAGCTTAATGGTGGTGCATGAGCAATAGAAATGGCATGAGCATATGGTGTGAACGAGACATCGGTTTGCATAATCAGGAAGATTGGGGCAAAGATACAAGCTTGTGCAATGAATTACCCAGGTTGTGACCTGAAAATAATGACAGGTCAGAGCAGCTAAATAAAACAAAAAGGCATTGAATGGATTGAACAGGGACCCAAGAAAAGGTGCACCACTTTAATTTCATCCTGTAGCATTGAGGAAGGAAGGCTTGAATAAGTATGCTGGACAAGATGCTGATTCCAGATAAATCACAGCAAATGTTTAATGCTGATGAGACCAGTGTTTATTGGGAGAAGATGCGATCAAGAACTTACGTCAGCCAGCAAGAGAAAAGTGTTACTGGGTTCAAGGTGCTCCTTTACAGTAATGCTTCAGGCAGTGGAACCCCGGTTTTCATCCGGTTTGGTTATCGTACAATTCAGTTTTCGACCACTTTTTTTCGGTAAAATTTTCCCCGTTTTCGTACATCCGCTCAAAAATCATCCGTACCAGACATGTCCGCCTGCCTGCCGGATGCAGCCGCTCATCGTTCGTGACTCAGTCTTCCTTTGTTACTCGTTCAGTGAGCATTACTCCACACGTTCATCTGAAACATTTAATAATAATCTATTGATTTTTGTTGGAGGTGAATGGCCAGGATGTGGAAGAGTTGGTGGACGACCACAGGGAAGAGCTAACCACTGAAGAGCTGCAAGACCTTCATCTGGAACAGCAACAGACCTTAGCTGAGGAAATTGATTCAGAGGAGGAAGAGGAAGAGAGAGGGGAGAATGTGCCACCTTCAGCAATTAAGGACATTTGTGCAAAGTGAAGTGAGGTGCAAAGTTTTGTGGAGAAATATCACCCTAACAAAGCTGCTGCAAGCCATGTCAGCAACATGTTCAATGACAATGCCATGTCCCATTTTAGGCAAATCTTAGAGACGCCAGAAACAGGCCTCTCGGGACAGATTTTTTGTGTGACAGGGGTCCAGTGACTCTCAAGCTGGTCCCAGTGCCAGTAAAGACAAAGAAGGAAAGTAACCCCGGATAGAACTTTGATACCTGAAGTCCTTATGGAGTGGAATTCCCCATCCAGACAATACCCTCTCCCTTGCTCGCTGTCTTCCATATGCCAACAAGAGTCTTCAATGAAGGTAAAAGTGATGTTAAATGTTCATTTATCTACTTCATTAGCCATTTCTATCTATTTCTCATTGTTTTCTGTATGTAAAACTATAGTTATTCTCTATAAAATGTATTTTTTGTTAATATTTTTGGGTGCCTGGAATGGATTAATTGGATTTACATTATTTCTTTTGGAAAATATTACTTCAGTTTTCACAGAAATCAGTTTTCAGCCGACCTTCTGGAATGGATTAAAGACGAAAACCGGGGTTCCATTGTACTTCAAAAGTGCATGGAATAAAGTGTCCCATTTAACATTAAATGTAGGTGGGGGAAAGTTATGGCCTGGTGTGGTGAATACTTTCACAGACTTTCCCTCAAGTGAGTCAGGTGCAGGGAATTCTTTAACTGGCAAGATTGCCAGCTGAGGCTCTAAAGATATGCAGGAAGAAGATGCAAGAGAAATCTTAGAAGATAATAAGAAATGAAACCCAAAGGAAATGTTGGCAGTGCTCAGTGTCCAGATACAAGGGAGGCAGATGATAGAGGAAGATGAGAAAGAAGATCCTGAAGAAAGAAGTTAACGTAGCAACAGTTCCATGTTAATGCTAAACTTGCAGACACTTGTTTTTCACTGAAGAGGACCCTGACAAATCTAGAAGTACTGCTCTGAAATAGGGTCTAGAGCAACAGATGATACTTTACCGTCAGCTGTATGGAGTGCTCAGGGCAAAACAAACCAGACACATTACAGAATTCCTTAGTATGTACTCCAGTGCAACCATCAACATCAGTGCAAAACCCCCACCTACGCACCCACCCACCTAAGTCCAGTAGGGCCTGATCATCCCTCTCTACTCCTTTCAAAATCAGCAACCAAAATGTAAGGTAAAAAGCATTATCTAGGTAATTTTTGGTTATATAAGTATTTTATTAAATATAAAACCATTGCATTCACCTACACTTACATTGTTATCCTTGTCTTTTAAATTTTTGAGCTCAGAAAGGAGGAATGTAGCCCTATTTTTTCCCAAGTGTTTTTCAATTACTTTTATGCATGTTTTTATTTACAGGCCATTTTTAAGACTGTAATTACTGTGATAGTCGACAGTCAGCTGTATATTGTTATGAGTCATAATTTTCTTGTATGTTTTCACATTAACCCATTTCCATTACCTGACATTTATCAACATCAAATTATATCATCCATTTAATACATTGTAAATGCTGTGTTAAATACAAGTTTTTTTTTTTTTTTTTTTACAGGAACTTGTAGAAGACTTTATATTCCCATTTTCTAAGGTGTACCTTCAGTTAGAGCATGCAGCCGAAATGCCTGCTGAGCAGGTAAGTGTAGCAGCTTAGTATATATTGTGGAATAAACCTTGGTAATAAATACCGACAAGTTGGTTTAGAAAGACACGTAAGCAAACACTATAACATATTTATTAGAAAACGTTTCGGTCCTGGGACCTTGATCACTTCTAACATACAGAGGTAGGAAGACATTATATATAGGCGGAGAGTGAGGTGTGACGCACGTGACCTGAGGAATGTCATAAGAACATAAGAATGGAGGAACACTGTAGAAGGCCTACTGGCCCATGCGAGGCAGGTCCTTATCAAAAACAACCTCTGCCTATGATGAGGACGGGTAGACGATGAAATCACGTGACTCCTGTGTTGTTGGGTTGGTGCTGCTTAAGTATCATGTATGCCAATGTTCTTGAAATTTTGTAGTTTCCAGTGTTGCGTTCTATAGTGTCGGTGACTGCGATTAGTGAGGCTTCTAGGCACCGTCGGTGTCTGAGGTCTGGTTCGGTGAGAACGAGTTGTGCCTCATTCCAGTTCATCAAATGCCCCGTGGAGTCTCTGTGGAGGACACATGCGTACCTTACATCGTCTCTGTTAGAGGCATTTCGATGCTCATTCAGGCGGACTGCAAGATCTCTGCCTGTCTCGCCTACATATTTCTTGGGACAGAACCCACAGGGGATAGCGTAGACGCCTGCTGTAGAAGTTAGAGGTGTGGGGCTGCGTTTCGTAGTGAGGTCTTTGATAGATGATGTGTTTATGGTGGAAACGTTGATGTTACTCATAGCAAGTGCCCTGCGAGTATTCGTGGCAACATCGCCACATGGGAGTACTATGAACTGTTTAGGGGGCTGTTCCATGGGCGGTTTGTTGAGGATAGCTTGTGCCTTGAGTCTGCAATCTCGGAAACTTTGGAACAATGCTCTTCTCCAGACTGAGGGACTGACCATCTCAAAACTTTAAGGGTGATGGACTGATTACATCGTCTTCAAGTCTCTTTTGCTTCTATCAACTTTTCTGTACTCGACTGAAGAAGCCTACTGTGTAGGCGAAACATTTCGAAATAAAGATACCTAACTGTTGCATATGTGTCTTACCTAACAATCTGTCGGTATTTTATACCATTTTAATGTTCAACATGTTTATGTATACACATTTGTCTGAATTTTCTTTGATTTTTTCTTAATGGCTCTTGTTCTTAATTATTTTCCTTTCATATCCATGGGGAAGTGGAATAAGAATCTTTTTCTCTGTAAGCCATATGTGTTATAAAATTCAGCTAAAATGCTGGAAGCAATGGGCTAATAGCCCATTTTCCTGTATAGCTTACTAAAAATAAAAATAAAAGTATTATTCAGAGGACTGAGGAGGGATTATTGAGGTGGTTTGATCATTTAGAGATTATGGAGCAAAATAGGATGATTTGTAGGGTGTATAATTAATACTTAATGACATGCCTTTTCAGGCCATACCAGTGTGCTCAACTCAACCAACTGTGATAGCAGCATATGAACTACTAGTCACTTTATGTACAGGCTGTGTTCCCAACCTCAAACTTTTGGCAGAAATGCTCACGAATATGTATTATTCAGGTAATGTCAACAGAAATAATAGCCTGTTTATTTCTTTAGTATTGCTTCATCATTCTTAAGGTTTCATCGTTGATAACATTAACATCTTGATGAGTTATCCTGTCATATTGTTACATTATTATAGGAGCCTTCCTCATTGTTTTCATATGTAATTCAAAAATGTTTTACATTCTGCTGTTTATTTATCAAGGCTTCGATTTGCTGAAATTAAATTTAACCAAAGTGAAAAGTCTTTACTACTCTGGTCTAAATGCAGTATATAATGAACCATATTGATTGAATTGGTTAAAGAGATTATTTAAATGAAATAAATCCTTTGATACCCAGATGCAAATTGTAACATTAGGTACATCTTCACTAGCACAAAAGAAATGATACTGTACTGTACAAGTTAATGAAAACAGTGTTGTTTGCAGATTGCGATGAAAGCATTGGGGAATGGGAATACCTACCTCCAGTTGGCCCAAGACCTGTGAAGGGATTTGTAGGGTTAAAAAATGCAGGGGCTACCTGCTATATGAATTCTGTCCTACAGCAGCTCTACATGATAAGACAAATAAGGTAATTGAATTATGCAAGCTTTTGTAATGCTAATAAAAATTTTGTTATACCTGTTTTATTTTAAAATTTATTGCAGTGATAAATAAATTACGAGGTATGATGTAGCACGTAATGAAAGTAGTTTGTTAGATTATGTATTGGTGGATAAAAGGTTGATGGGTAGGCTCCAGGATGTACATGTTTATAGAGGGGCAACTTATATATCGGATCATTATTTAGTTGTAGCTACAGTTAGGGTAAGAGGTAGATGGGAAAAGAGGAAGGTGGCAACAACAAGTAAGAGGGAGGTGAAAGTGTATAAACTAAGGGAGGAGGAAGTTCGGGAGAGATACAAGCGACTATTGGCAGAAAGTTGGGCTAGTGCGAAGATGAGTAGTGGGGGGGTTGAGGAGGGTTGGAATAGTTTTAAAAATGCAGTATTAGAATGTGGGGCAGAAGTTTGTGGTTATAGGAGGGTGGGGGCAGGAGGAAAGAGGAGTGATTGGTGGAATGATGAAGTAAAGGGTGTGATAAAAGAGAAAAAGGTAGCTTATGAGAGTTTTTTACAAAGCAGAAGTGTTATAAGAAGAGCAGAGTATATGGAGAGTAAAAGAAAGGTGAAGAGAGTGGTGAGAGAGTGCAAAAGGAGAGCAGATGATAGAGTGGGAGAGGCACTGTCAAGAAATTTTAATGAAAATAAGAAAAAATTTTGGAGTGAGTTAAACAAGTTAAGAAAGCCTAGGGAAAGTATGGATTTGTCAGTTAAAAACAGAGTAGGGGAGTTAGTAGATGGGGAGAGGGAGGTATTAGGTAGATGGCGAGAATATTTTGAAGAACTTTTAAATGTTGAGGAAGAAAGGGAGGCGGTAATTTCATGCACTGGCCAGGGAGGTATACCATCTTTTAGGAGTGAAGAAGAGCAGAATGTAAGTGTGGTGGAGGTACGTGAGGCATTACGTAGAATGAAAGGGGGTAAAGCAGCTGGAACTGATGGGATCATGACAGAAATGTTAAAAGCAGGGGGGATATAGTGTTGGAGTGGTTGGTACTTTTATTTAATAAATTTATGAAAGAGGGGAAGGTACCTAGGGATTGGCAGAGAGCATGTATAGTCCCCTTATATAAAGGGAAAGGGGACAAAAGAGAATGTAAAAATTATAGAGGAATAAGTTTACTGAGAATACCAGGAAAAGTATACGGTAGGGTTATAATTGAAAGAATTAGAGGTAAGACAGAATGTAGGATTGCGGATGAGCAGGGAGGCTTCAGAGTGGGTAGGGGATGTGTAGATCAAGTGTTTACATTGAAGCATATATGTGAACAGTATTTAGATAAAGGTAGGGAAGTTTTTATTGCATTTATGGATTTAGAAAAGGCATATGATAGAGTGGATAGAGGAGCAATGTGGCAGATGTTGCAAGTATATGGAATAGGTGGTAAGTTACTAAATGCTGTAAAGAGCTTTTATGAGGATAGTGAGGCTCGGGTTAGGGTGTGTAGAAGAGAGGGAGAATATTTCCCGGTAAAAGTAGGTCTTAGACAGGGATGTGTAATATCACCATGGTTGTTTAATATATTGATTGATGGGGTCGTAAAAGAAGTAAATGCTAGGGTGTTCGGGAGAGGGGTGGGATTAAATTATGAGGAATCAAATTCAAAATGGGAATTGACACAGTTACTTTTTGCTGATGATACCGTGCTTATGGGAGATTCTAAAGAAAAATTACAGAGGCTAGTGGATGAGTTTGAGAATGTGTGTAAAGGTAGAAAGTTGAAAGTGAACATAGAAAAGAGTAAGGTGATGAGGGCATCAAATGATTTAGATAAAGAAAAATTGGATATCAAATTGGGGAGGAGTAGTATGGAAGAAGTGAATGTTTTCAGATACTTGGGAGTTGATGTGTCGGCGGATGGATTTATGAAGGATGAGGTTAATCATAGAATTGATGAGGGAAAAAAGGTGAGTGGTGCGTTGAGGTATATGTGGAGTCAAAAAACGTTATCTATGGAGGCAAAGAAGGGAATGTATGAAAGTATAGTAGTACCAACACTCTTATATGGATGTGAATTTGGGTGGTAAATGCAGCAGGAAGGAGACGGTTGGAGGCAGTGGAGATGTCCTGTCTAAGGGCAATGTGTGGTGTGAATATTATGCAGAAAATTCGGAGTGTGGAAATTAGGAGAAGGTGTGAAGTTAATAAAAGCATTAGTCAGAGGGCAGAAGAGGGGTTGTTGAGGTGGTTTGGTCATTTAGAGAGAATGGATCAAAGTAGAATGACATGGAAAGCATATAAATCTATAGGGGAAGGAAGGAGGGGTAGGGGTCGTCCTCGAAAGGGTTGGAAAGAGGGGGTAAAGGAGGTTTTGTGGGCGAGGGGCTTGGATTTCCAGCAAGCGTGCATGAGCGTGTTAGATAGGAGTGAATGGAGACGAATGATACTTGGGACCTGACGATCTGTTGGAGTGTGAGCAGGGTAATATTTAGTGAAGGGATTCAGGGAAACCGGTTATTTTCATATAGTCGGACTTGAGTCCTGGAAATGGGAAGTGCAATGCCTGCACTTTAAAGGAGGGGTTTGGGATATTGGCAGTTTGGAGGGATATGTTGTGTATCTTTATATGTATATGCTTCTAAACTGTTGTATTCTGAGCACCTCCGCAAAAGCAGTGATAATGTGTGAGTGTGGTGAAAGTGTTGAATGATGATGAATGTATTTTCTTTTTGGGGATTTTCTTTCTTTTTTGGGTCACCCTGCCTCGGTGGGAGACGGCCGACTTGTTGAAAAAAAAAAAAAGAAAAACTTGTACATATGTTATTTTAACTTAGGGGTAGTTTTTGTTAGAAAATCAATATTGCATCTATTTTCGGTAAGAAATATCTTCTTAGCATTGTACTTAGAAGGGGGTAGGAGAGTTTAAGTGGGGAGAAATAATTAGGATTAGGTCAGGGGTTTCTAATAGAGCTAAGGAAGGAGTAGCAATAATGTTGAAGGTTCAGTTATGGCAGGAAAAGAGGGAATATAAATGTTTAAGTTCAAGGGTTATGTGGAGTAAATTAGGGTCGGATGTAAAGAGTGGTTTATAGAAGTGTTTATGCACCTGGGTAAGAGAGGTTTAGAGGAGAGAGATTTTGGGAGATAATGAGTGAGTGCTTGGGGAGTTTTGAACTAAGTTAGAGAGTACTTGTTGTGGGTAAAACTTATGGAGAGTATAGTAGGAAAGTTTGAGGTACCAGGGTTAAATGAAAATGGGGGGCCTTTAATTGAACTATTTATAGAAAGAGGTTTGGTAATAAGTAATATATCTTTTAAGAAAAAAAGGATAAATAAGTATGGAAGATATGATACAGTGCAAATGAAAATAGTTTGTTAGATCATGTGTTGGTGGATAAAAGGTTGATGGGTAGACTTTAGGATGTGCCTGTTCATGGAGGGGCAACGGTTATATTAGATAATTTAGTTGTAGCTACAGTTAGAGTAGGAGGTAGATGGGGCAAAAGGAAAATGACACCACTAATTAAGAGAGGTGAAAGTTTATAAACTGTGGGAGGAGGAAGTTAGGGTGAGATATCAGCAACTATTGGCAGAAAGGTGGGCTAGTGCAAGTATGAGGAGTGGGGGGAGCTTGAAGAGGGGTGGAATAGTTTTAAAAATGCAGTGTTAGAATGGGGGACAGAAGTTTGTGGCTATAGGAGGGTGGGTGTAGAAGGAAAATGGAGTGATTGGTGGAATGACCAGGTAAAGGGTGTGATAATGAAGAAAATGGTAGCTTATGAGAGGTTTTTACAAAGCAGAAGTGATATAAGAAGGGTGGAGCATATGGAGAGTAAAACAAAGGTGAAGAGAATGGTGAGGGAGTGAAAAGGAGAGCAAATGATAGTGGGTGAGTTGCTGTTAACAAATTTTGCTGAGAATAAGAAAAAATTTTGGAGTGAGTTAAATAGGTTAAGAAAGCCTAGGGAACAAATGGATTTGACAGTTAAAAACAGAATAGGGGAGTTAGTAGATGGGGAGTTGGAGATATTGGAAAGATGGCGGGAATATATTGAGAAACTGTTGAATGTTGTTGAGAGGGAGGCAGTAATTTCATGCATTGGCCAGGGAGGTATGATATCTTTTAGGAATGAAGAAGAGCTGGATGTGAGTATGGGGAAGGGGCACGAGGCATTATGTAGAATGAAAGGGGGTAAAGCAGCTGGAACTGATGGTGTCATGACAGAAATGGTAAAAGCAGGTGGGGATATAGTCTTGGAGTGGTTGGTACTATTGGTCAGTAAACGTATGAAAGAGGTGAAGGTACCTAAGGGTTGGCAGAGAGTATATAGTTCCTTTATATAAAGGGAAGGGGGAAAAAAAAAAAGAGTGTAAAAGTTATAAGGGAATAAGTTTACTGAGTATACCAGGTAAAGTGTATGGTAGGGTTATTATTGAAAGAATTAGAGGTAAGACAGAGAGCAGGGTTGCAGATGAGCAAGGAGGCTTTAGTGTGGGTAGGGGATGTGCAGATCAAGTGTTTACTTTGAAGCATATAAGAGCAATATTTACATACAGGTAGGGAAGTTTTCATTGCATTTATGGACTTAAAAAATGCATATGATAAGGTAGATAGGGGAGCAGTGCGACAGATGTTACAAGTGTATGGAATATACTGGTAGTAAGTTTCTAAATGCTGTAAAGAGTTTTTATGACAGTAGTGAGGTTAGGGTGTATAGGAGAGAGAGAGAGATTAGAGTAGGCCTTAGACAGGGATGTGTAATGTCACCATGGTTGTTTAACATATTTATAGATGGGGTTGTAAAAGAAGTAAATTCTAGGGTGATGAGGAGATAGGTGGGATTAAATTATAGGGAATTAAGTACAAAATGGGAATTGACACAGTTATGTTCTCCTGATGATACTGTGCTTTTGGGAGATTCTAGAGAAGTTGCAAAGGTTAGTGGATGAGTTTTGGAGGGTTTGTAATGGTAGAAAGTTGAAAATGAACATAAATAAGAGTAAGGTGATGAGGGTATCAGATGAGTT